ATGAAAGGCACCAACTAATCCAAAAACAGACTAAGGAAACAACCCCCTTATGATAACAAAGCTGTCAAACTGTCTATAACACATCAAAATCAAATTTCAGTTCTCAGAGGTGAAAAAAAGCGTTTGGGTAATAACAAGTTTATTATCTATATTTTATTTCCCAACCAAGCATCAAAATTCACACCTTCCTACCTCTAAAGTTGCAATGCTACTATTAAATTATGAAATCTAACTTCTCAATGCCATTGTTAATTCCAGCAAATGGAAGAAAATGCAGATCTTACCAGTGGGGCATAAAATATGAATCTCACAAGACAAAACATGCCTATTGTTAAAACACTTGTTCCAACATAAAAGAAGAAATGTCTTCAGTCTGGCATAATTTATATTGCTTTTCCTATTCCTAGACTTTTTCAGCGTATTTTCTACAGTACTATGTATTTTCTAGAAGCACACAGTTATGTCTACTTTTCCATAATGAGTGTTTATTGAAGTTCACTTTATTTTTTAAATAAAAATTATTACCACTGCCCTGAGGTTTATAAATGAATCCGTTAACTCATTTAAACTTCACAAAAATCTCATGATGTAAGCACAGTGATATCATTACATAAGTGAGAAACTGAGGCAAAGAGCCATGAAATGTGTTGCCTAGGGTCATGCACAAGTAGGCAGCACAGTAAGGAACAAACTGAGGAAGGCTTACTGCAGAATCCACCCTCACAACCACCTCACAGAGCAGCTTCTCTGGTGAATGAGGAGGTGGGTGGGCACAGTTTTCATGAATATGTATGACATGACTAATGTCTGTCAGCAACCAGCAAATTACTAAATTGTCCCTATGCGGATGTTTTCTTAATTTAACTGGCTTAATTAGAGTGTTTTAAGTATATCAAAAGGAAGAAAGAGTTAAGTTCAACAGGATTGGTATGTTCAATAGAATCATCTTGTTGGACTAAAACTCCCTGTTAACTGCAGTAAACAGGGAGTTTTCAGTAAAACACATGATGTAACAGTAAATTCTGGTCATTACAGGCAAAATCTACTGAGTTAATAGTAGAGGTTACTTATTATAGACTACTTCACAGTTGAAACTGGGAGTACAGGGCCTTTCAGACTATGAAGGATCTCCATGAATTTATTCAGAAGTCAACTGATGGTGAAAATATTCTCAGGACAATAATTTAGCACAATATATGAGCTAAAGAGGTTGAGAGCCCTTCTAGCACAAAACTACACCAACCAAGATGAAGATACATTTATTCTAATAAATCTCAGTAGCATTTCTTTCCATAGCATAGGATACATTTCCCTTTATATTTGTTTGAACTTTTTTTTTTTAATTTCCCCAGAGGGCACATGAATTCATCTGAGAGACAGAGAGAGAGAGTGAAGAGAGAAAGATATCTGTGTGACTATCTCCTTCACTTGCCTCAAGTCTTTGCTTAAACCTCACCTTCTCTCAACACTTTGACTATGCTTCCCCATTCTTTCCTTGCCTGGATTGTTTCCGCCGAGAGATCCGATGTTAGCCTGATGGGGTGACCTTTGTAAGTAACTTGACGTTTCCCTCTTGCCAACTTTAGTACCTTGTCTTTGTTGTTTTTGCCAGTCTGGCTATGATGTGCTTTGGAGAGGATCTTCTTGGGTTGATTCTACTCGGGGTCCTATGTATTTCTTGGGCCTGGATATTTGAATACCTTTCTAGGTTTGGAAAGTTTTCTTCCAGGATTTCATGGAATAAATTATCTAGGCCCTTATTATTTTCTTCCTCTTCTGGAATACCAATTATTCTGATGTTGGGGAGCTTGATGGTATCCAGTATTCCTCATATGTTGTCCTCATTTTTCATGGTTGTTTTCTCAGTCTTCTTGATACTTTTTTCTAGGTCAGATGTTTTGTCTTCTACGTTAGAGATTCGATCTTCTGCCTGGTCTAACCTACTTTTAATACTTTCAAGGGAGGTTTTGATTTCCTGTATCACATTCTTCAATCCTAGAAGTTCCATCTGGTTCTTGTTTAAGGTATCCATTTCTTCTTTCAAGTCATTAAAGGACTTCCTCATCTCCTGGAGCTCCTTGTCTCTTTTCTCTTCCATCTCAGTTAGTTTGGTCACTACAAATATTCTGAATTCCTTATCAGACATGTCCACGACGTCCATTGTATTGACTGTGGGTGATGTAGGCTTGATGATTTCCCTTGACGGAGAGGCCTTTTGTTGGTTGCTCATATTTCTTGAGCCTTTGCGATTGTTTTTAGTCATCAGGTAATCTATATGTTTCTTGCCAACTTATTTCAGGTATCTCTGATTCATAAAAGTTGTACAGGCTTAGAAGATAAAAGAAAAATGAAAAAAGAAAATTGCGTGGCGCGCTTTGCACGCCACGTGCTATTCAAATCACCAAAATTCAGAGAGTCCAAAGGCTAGTAGGAAAGGGCCAGAGGATGAGTGACAGGACCAGGTTGGTCGGGCCTGCAGCCTCAGTCCGCCTGGTGTCCGGAACTACTGGCTGGCTCGATCTGGTTTGCAGATGGGGTGGGGTGGGAGTTCGTTTTAAAGTCCAAGATAACCAACCTGGGGTCCAGGGAGGAGGAATGGTGGGGATCCACGAAAGTTCAGGGGGGTGGGGGAGGGGGGGAGTCCGGCCTGCAGCCTCAGTCCACCTGGTGTCCCAAACCTCACCTTCTCGACAAGCCCTCTCCTGACCATCCTAATTCCAAAAGCAATCTAGGTTGGCTCCATGGCACGGCAGCAATGTGCAGCTCAAGAGAAACCAGATCCCACTAGAGACCCCTATTTGAATCCCCAGTCAGCCTGAAACATGCCAGACATATGTGTAAATGCCCAGGATCTCACCAGCTGGAGGGTAGGAATTATAGTATGACCAGACCTTGTGGAAGGTGCTCATCTTTCTCTCTCTCTCTCTCTCTCTCTCTCTCTCTCTCTCTCTCTCTCTCTCTCAAGTGCACATGCACACATTATATTATGAATAAAGAAAAAAATTGCAACCCACAACTGTCCCTGGTATTCATGGTCCCCTTCCCCTATTCCGTTTTTTCTTTTTTTTTTTTTTTGGTCAGCTTCAAACATATTTATTTATTATGTTTACTTTATTGACTGTATCTCCCACTGAAATCAGAAGTAAAACTAGTAAAGGAATTTTCATCTATTTTGTCCCTTTTTATAGATACATTAATCAGAACAGGTCCATCCAGGATAACCTCCCTTTTGATCAACTAACTTGGGACCTTAAATACATCTGAAAAATCCCTTTGTCTTTGTCATATAATGCCACCTAATCACAGGAGTGACAGCCATCACATTCACAGTACTGCCTATATGTGCACACCAGGAGGCAGACATCTTGGGGAGGCTTCTAGCCTCCCACAGTAAGATAGACCTGACACCCAGTTCTGCTGCAAACCAAACTACCAAAATCTACTGAATCAGTATCTAGATGGAGTAAAAATTTCCAGGAAAAAGACTGCTATGGCATAGTGGTTAAGGTGCTAGACTCTCACGTGGTCAGCCACGGTTCAAGAACAGAATCAACAGTTTGAAATTCCCGTCAGGCACGTGTGTGTGTGTCCCCAATATCCTGAGAAGAGAATGGAAGAGAAGGGATTGTGGTGTGGCCATCTCTCCAGGGAATGATTTCTTTTTGTTTTTGTTTTCGTTTTTGTTTTGTTTTGCTTTGTTTTGAGAGGTTTTCACTATAGGGCACGTGCGCTCGCCAAAAAGACAGAGACAGAGAGACAGAAAGCAAGAAATCACCTCCCAGGGAGGATGGCCATGCCACAATCCCTTCTCCTCCATTCTCCTCTCAGGATCTTGGGCACACACACACATGTCCCCGGCGTGATTTTAAGCCAATGAGTCCGGGACTTGAACCGCGGTCCACTACATGGGAGGCCAGCAACATAGCCATTACACTAACTGCTGGTCCCTCCAGGGAATGATTTCTCACTTTCTATCTCTTTGTCTCTCTCTGTCTCTCTGGCAAGTGCACACACCCCATATCAAATATATATATCTTTTCTGGGCCCAGCAGGTGGCCTGGTGATTGTGTGGTGATTACTCCCACATGGTCAACTGCAGTTTGAGTCCCAGATAAGGGGCTGCAGCATAGCCCAGCTCCTGGGGAGTAATTTCTCACTTTCCTTCTTTCTCCCTCTCTATGTCTCTCTCTGGCAAGTACACATGCCCTATGGCAAAAACCTAAAAAGAAAAAAAAAAATCTTTGCCACAGTCATATTTATAGCACCACTATTCACAATAGCCAGATGGTGAAACAACTCAGATATCCACTGATGGATGAATGAACAAAGAAAACGTGATATCTACATGCTGTAGAATATTATTCAGCCTTAAAAAGGAAGGAAATTCTGACATAGGCTATTACAATACAACATGGATAAACCTCAAAAACATTAGGCTAAGTGAAATGAGCTAGCCATGAAAAGATAAATCCAGTATGAGTAAGTCCACTTATTTAAGGTTCCTAAAGTCATCAGTTCACAGAGAGAAAGTAGAATGGTTGTTGCCAGGTGCTGAGGGAGAAGGGAATGGGTTTTAATGGGTACAGACTTTGGCTTTACAAAATGAAAACAGACCTGGAGGTAGATGATGGTGGATGGTGATGACCATACAACAACGTGCATGCTTACAATGCCATTGAATTGTACACTTAAAAACAACTAAGTGACAAATTTCATGTTGTCTATTTTACCACAACCAAAACTAATAATTAAAAAAAATTTGCCAATGAAACTGTGTACAATATTTTTAACTCATTTAATACACAAAGATGGAGATCTAAATTGATATGGGAACTGTTTTGGATTTTAAAGAAGGTAAATATTAATGTAACAGGTTTTTACAATGATTAGTGAATTAAAGCTAAAGTTTGTGTTCTATGATCATTTTTGCTACATCAGAAATCACCACAGAAACAGCGATACAAACTGATGTTCCTGTTCCAACTGAAAACCTTACTCACCTGGCCCAGATCCAAGGTGAGGTTGACTCTGTTATACTGTGTGCCTGAGGAAAGAGGAGGGCTTTGCCACCAACGTTCAGATCCATCGATTGCATTGGTAACTGGGTGTGCCTTCTGGGGATCCTCAGAGTTGCAGTAGTCACAGAACTGGCCCTGGAGGGGGAAAAAAGTATTTTTTCAAGTAACTTTTTCTTATCCATTTGGTAAAAGAGGTAACTTAAAAAGACTCCTTCAGCGTAGAAATGTCAGCTGTTTAAAATCATTGTACCATGGGGACCAGCAGATGGAATAATGGTTATATCACTGGACTCCCACATAGTTGACCACAGTTCGAGTCTCAGACCCAGCAGCTTAAAACTCACACCAGGTGCTTGTGCATGTATGCCCAAAATCCCAAGAGGAGAAGGGAGGAGAAGGGATTGCAGTGTGTCCATCGCCCCCTGGGGGGTGATTTCTCACTTTCTGTCTCTCAGTTTCTCTCTGTCTCTCCAACGAGCACACATGCCCTGTCACAAAAATCTCTCTCAAAAACAAAACAAACAAAACAGTCATTGTAATATGTCCTGAAGCCAGTGGTAAGGCTTTTTCTTTTTCATTTACTCTTAAGTCATATCACCTATGTGTATCTATTATGTTGATTATGTTTCCAGGGTATGGATTATATTTATTTTCCATCTTTACACCTATATTTTCCTTGTCCTATACAACACTTCAAGAAGAGTTATTGTACTTGGAATGCAAAGATGTTCTCACTTCAACAAATCCATCCATAATTCTTCAAATCTTAAAGAAAAAAAAAATCTTTAAATCTTATTCTGTGCAATCGTGTATGAGGCACTGCGGTACAAAGAGGATCCTGGCCCACAGTCCCAGTGGAGGGGGTAAGTTTACAAATAACCATTAGGGAAAGTAGTACAGAAAATGCCTCTGTATAAAGTGCTGGGGTGGAAGGGGTAGGTATTCCAGAGTAGAAGAGATGGCATTTAAACTACTTGCGAGGCTGAACAGAACTTTGATAAGTGGTAGTGAGTACCAAAGAGGAAAAGCACTACAGGTGGAAGAATCAGCACAAGCAAATGCACAGGGACCAGCTGATCCAGTCTGACCTAAGTACTAAGAACAAGACTTGTGGCCAGCAGGTGGCATAGTAGTTAAAGCACTGGACTCCCACATGGCCAATCACAGTTCGAGTCCTAGACTTGGTAGCTTGAAATTCACACCAGGCACATGTGCATGTGTGCCGACACTCCCTACAGGAGAATGAAGGAGAAGGAATTGTGGTGTGGCCATTCCCCTTTGTGGGGAGGGGGAAGGGTGATTTCTTGCTTTCTGTCTCCCTGTCTCTATCTCTCCAGCAAGTACATACACTCTACAGCAAAAATCTCTCTCTCAAAAAAAAGACAACACAAGACTTAACAGGCCACTGAGGAAGATGTGGCTGGGTGTGAATACCAAAGTGAGAAGTCAATAACTAATTCAGTAGTAAATGGGGATCGCTTTTTACCTGGGATGATACTGTTTAGTATTATAACCTCTAACTCCTTACTGAATTAGTTGTTTTTGGAAGGCAGAGTCTTTTACTTCTGATTTTTGTTTTGTTTTATTTGCAGTGCAGAATTTTACAGCCATTTGCCATCCAAAAAAAGCTGAACATAGATCTTTATTCTGTGTGGAACATATTTTTTAATGGACCAAAGGATCATGCTTACCCAAGGATTAACTTTACATACTGAACTATCCTACTCCACAGTAAATTATTTTGGAGTATGACCACCACACAGGAGGGGAACACAGAAGCAACATACTCACCACCTCCCCAGAAATGTGCTGTGACAAAGGGGTAGCTCTGCCCCCGGTATAAATTCAATGCTGGTATGTAACCAAATGTGCGACCAAATATTTTCATTTTCTATGCAATTGGTGGTTCTTTTGTATGTGGTGAGAAATTTATGTAGGTCTTTATTTTTTGAAATTATATAGAGACATTGACTTTTTTTTTTTTTTGGAGAGGTTTTGCTATAGGGTGCATGCACTCGCCAGAAAGACAGAGAGAGACAGAGAGACTGAAAGTGAGAATTCACCCCCCAGGGGGGATGGCCAGGCCAAATCCCCTTCTCCTCCATTCTCCTCTCGGGATCCTGGGCATGCACGCACATGTGCCCAGTGTGAGTTTAAGCCACGGGGGCTGGAACTCGAACCACAGTTGACTACATAGGAGTCCAGCGACATAGCCATTACGCCAGCTGCTTTTCCTGAGACATTGACATTTATATAACTCAGAAGCAGCATGTTGGGATATGTGGCCTCATCAGATCATGAGATCAAATGGGACCACATATCTGATCTCATGATCTGATGGGACCACATATTTTCTTCTAGAAGTAGAAGCTCAACAAAGGAATCATCCCATCAGCAATTTCTTAAAAAAAAAAATTGGGTGGTTATCTTTATAAAGTTTATCATTATAATATGAGGCTTAATTAATAACTTTTTAATCCAGGACATCTAAACACTTATTTTTCCCATCAATGTCTATTTTTTCTTTTTCTTTTTTCCAAGAGAGCATTTGAGCAGTTTAATGACTTCATGAGGGAATTAAATTATTATTTCTTGACGTTTAAAAGATTTATATCTGAAAAGAAGCACATCACTTTCAAAAGTGTGGAAGCTTATAACTGATTTATCTCCATCTCTATATAATGGATATGAGAAATGAAGATGATGCTTTTTAGTGTTGTTAGACTGATTCTCAATTTCAAAAATAAAAATAACTAAAATGAAACTTCATAGAGTGCCTGTCATGCATTAAGCATCATGCACTTCACATTTTCATGCTAAGAGTCTTACTATCACTTCTACGTTACTGCTGAAGAAACAGAGTGGAAAGGTTAAGTAATTTCCCCAAGAACCACACAACTGATAAATGGTAGAACCAGGACCTAAGCCCAGGATTCCAAAGATAACATGTCAACTACTACCCTGCAACTTACTTCCCCCTCTAGCTGCTACACTGTTTATTAGACATCTCTGGAAATTCAGTAAAGTACCTTCCCTGCCATTAGTTTTAAAAGGCAGCGTTCACAATAGCCTAAGCGTTACAGTTCCAAGCCTCTTTCATGTAGAATCTCTTATCATCTCTGTTGCTAATCATTCCTTCTACTGTCCCAAATAAAACCATTCACATAATTTAGCAGACTGAGTAAAAACACAAGCTAAGTAGCTTTAACACCTACTAATTGTATGATCCAGGGCTAATTATTAAAATATGAGATTTGAACATTAATCATAAGTAATTTGAAAGTATGCATTTAAAAAATACTTTTGTGGACCAGCAGATGGCAATGGCTACTACCACTCAAACCCGGAGTCGGTGGCTTAAATTCTCGACAGGCATGTGTGCATGTGTGACCAATATACCGAGAGGACAATTGAGGAGAAGGGATTGCAGCATGGCCATCCCCTCCCCACCCTCCCAAAGTGATTTCTTGCTTTCTGTCTCTCTGTCTTTCTGGCGAGTGCACATGCCCTACAGCAACAATCTCTCCAAAAATAAAAAATACTTTTGGGACTAGCCAGTGCTGTGGTTGTTAAGGCAGCTGGATCCCGCATGGCCAACTGTGCAGTTTGAGTTCTGGACTGGCGTCTTGAAAAAACATGCCGGGGGGACCAGCAGGTGGCATGGTGGTTAAGGCGCTGGACACTTGCACACGGCTGACCATGGTTTGTGTCCCAGACCTGGAGGCTTGCGTTCTCACTTTCTCTCTCTCTCTCTCTCTCTCTCTCTCTCTCTCTCTGTGTGTGTGTGTGTGTGTGTGTGAGTGTGTGTGTGTGTTTGTGTGTGTGTGTCTGTCAAATTTTAAAAAAATAATAAATGAATAAATAAATAATTTTAAAAAAAAAGATAAAAAGAAAAAATATGCCAGGTGCATATGTGCATGCCCAAAATTCTGAGAGGAGAATGGAGACAAGATTGTGTCATGGCCTTCCCCTCTGGTGTGTGTGGAGGGGTGCTCTCTGCCTCTTTCTCTCCACAGTGAGCACACATACCCTATAGCAAACTGAAAAATAATAATAATTTTGTAGCCAAGAGAGTATCACAATTATCCAAGTTAGTTTCAACACTGACATTTTGGATGTTTGACTGATATAATAGATACATAAGTTAAAGGAGAATTCCTAGTAGTGAACTTAGACCAGGTAATAAAAGAGTTAAACTTTCTCTTTATTTTTCACATAGCATCTTCACAATAAAGAGTCTATAAAAATAACCTATCAAACCAATTATGCCATAGATAATGGTTTGTTGTGTTTTCTGTTTTGTTTTGTTTAGTTAATTGTATACATTAGCCAAGTTTAGGTGTCCAAATTGTCAGCAACAATGCCTCTGTGCTTCTGTGCCTCTCAGAAGGATGGATACTCTGAACATTTAAGACCTCTGAACTCATGCTCAAAGGTCTTTGCAAAGGAGCCATCTTAAGTTTGGAAGGGGGCTGAGATGGATACCAAACTTGAGCTGTAAAATATTGCTTTCCTTGACCAAAAATAAAGATTTTCTGCTGAGACTGCCCTCCTCAAGATTAATTTCTAGTGGCCTCTACGCACTAAGTGTCTAGAAAGGTCCAAGTGAACAGATCCAAACAGCTGAATACAATTAGGGTCAGAATGTTCCTCTATTCCCACTGAATCTGATGCATAAAGAGTGAAAATAGAATAGAAGAGAGATTGAAGATCACCTCCTTCTGTGCACCTCTGAATGCTCAGATTGAACTTCAAGAATTAGGAAGAAATGCACCATCCATTAGATGACTAGAAATCACCACAGGGTCACAAGAAATATGGGAAAGCAAGAAAATACCTCTCCTCCAAGGGAAAAGAATAACTCCTCTTCATTTCAGACAGTACAATGAAACTCATGGAAATGTCAGATAAAGAATTTAGAATATTCACAGTGACAAAGCTAACAGAGATGGAAGAGAAGAGAAACAATAAACCCCAGAAGAGGCAGGAGAAAGAAGCTGATGAGTTCCAGGTGAGGAAATACTTGCAATATCTAAAAGAGGAAACACACACTCTAAAAAAGAATCAAATGGACCTGTTAGAGATACAAGGGTAAGGCTATAATACAGGAAGTAAAAATCTCTCTTGAAAGTATT